TTGCACAGGGTGCATGGGGTTGCACAGGGTGCGTGAGGGTGCATCAGGTTCGGTGAGGTTGAATGAGAGTGCGCAGGGTGCGTGGGGGTGCGCAGGGTGCGTGGGAGTGCACAGGGTGCGTGAGAGTGCACAGGGTGTGTATTAAAGAGTGTGCAGGGGTGTGTGGGATTGCCTTAGGTTGAGGTAGAAAGAATTAGAGTGCAAAGGGGTAACGTTACATGTATAATGAATTGCTTATGATACATAGGGTATACAAGTTGTACTAATGCATGCACGTGCTTGCATATATGCATAAATCTTGCATATATTAATGAATTATATTTGCATATATGGGAAAATACCATGCTCCCGTTACCATACTGAGATAAGTATTTGGACCATCGCACACCGGGGCATGCCCCAACTCTTTTTCCCTCCAAACACGGGACCTTCATTTAACGTCCTATCCGAGAGACGTCCCTAAGCAAAGCTACACATGTAGGTACTCATTTCACCTGAGTGAAATGAGGAAAGTCGTGTAAAGTTCCTTCACCAAGGGCACAGGATCGGTGACAAGGTAGGATTCGAACTTGGAACCTCTTGGTTCAAGGCCGAACACGCTACAGCTACGCTACACGACCCCACGCCTTGAGCGTTAATAATACGAGTGTGATTCACAACCGAATTTGGTCCCCCAAAGCCCCCCCCCCCTCCCCAATTATGGTTATGAGTAGGTCGGGAGCAACTTTAGGTTGGCTGTGGTTGGCAAGAGTTCGGCCAGGTTGGCTTCTCTTCGAATTGCGACAGCCGAATGTTTCAACATTTTGAACCAGCTTCTGTATCTGTATCTGCAGAACCGGTATAATGGCCCTCTTGCGTAAGAAAAAGGCTTCCGTATTCGTATCTGTATGGCAGATATAACCGACTTTTGGCAATATTAACACACTAGCTTCTGTATCTGTGTCTGTATAGCGGGTATAATTGCCCTTCAGCATAACACACTAAGTGAACGACTACAATAATTTTACGGCAATCGTGCAAATGTGACCGTTAAAGACGTTCATATACCAATGAATCTGATGTCAAAAAGCATTGTAATTATTATTGAAATTGGTACTGATTATGATTAGTTGAAAGCGATGCCATGTTTGTATTTTTTTTTCATCTCTCTTACCTGTTTTACCCATCGTTTTTGTGAAAAAAAAGCGCTATCGCACTTTTTGGCTCTACTACAAATATATAAAAGGATCATAACACTTGCACCAAAATTGAAATATTTCAATTGGAAAAATCTTTATGTAATTGTCCTTTGCCTCATATTTGTGCAGTTTCTGACATTTGGTTGACGCTAAAACAGCCAGTTTGTGCATAGCACCACCAAATAAACAATCATGGCTGACAGCTGTGTTTCCAGCTTTCGAGCACATTCGTATTGTTTTCGTAACGTAACCTGCTTAATGGCACTTATTTGTTAATGATTAGGGTTAATCTTATAATTGCTTTGTACTTATTTGTTAATGATTGGGGTTAATCTTATATAATATAATTACTTTGTAAAGAAATTACCAGAAAATTGACATTTTATATCATCCTTATGTTAAAAAAAACGATTCCAGTTTAATTCCGGACTAATTTCCATATCTCAGCAACCGTATATCTAGATTCTAGATAGGCTAATATCGCAAACTATTGGTAAAAATGATGTAAAAAAATGTGTATATTTTACAGCCATCGAAGACCCCTTGGGGATTAACCCAATTCTACAGTTTCCTAAATTCTGTGGAATTCTGGCTCTACTTCCTAGAATTCTGCAGAATTCTGGCTCCAGTTCCCAGAATTCTGCAGAATTGGGTTAATCGGGGCCCTCGATGGCTTACTACATATTTCTTACATAATTTGTACCTATAGTTTACAATATCAACCTACCTAGAGGTAAGGTTACTGAGATATGGGAATTTATTACAATTATTGTTATTAGTATTTTTCCTTAAAATTATTGTCATTGTATTTTGTTGATATGCACTATTTATTGAAAATGATTGTCATTTCTATCTTTATTTTGGTCAGGGAGTCTAAAGGATATTCCTGTTTTCCATGGCCATTTTACATGTACTATATGTAAATAAAGTTGAAATAAATAAATTAAATAAAATAAAAGTCCAGAATTAATTTGGAGATTTGTTTGAAGTTAAAACTTTTGTTCCAACACAAAAAATTTTCTCACCTAGAGCTTTCGACCAGTCACTCTGGTCTTCCTCAGTAGACTGACCCAGTAAAGCTACATTGAACCGCGACGGGGGTCGACATCGTCTACCAGATACCTTTGACCCAGTGTTGACGTCACACTTCAAGAAGCCACGTGACAAGCTTTACTGGGTCAGTCTACTGAGGAAGACCAGCGTAACTGGTCGAAATAACTTTTTGTGTTGGAACAAAATTTTTAACTTCAAACATGTAACTACCAACACAGATGAACTTTCATAATTAAATTGGAGGTTGTTTACATAATGCAGCCATAAAAGCCACAGCGATGGCTCCGCTGGCTGAGAAGATGACCTCGCTGCTCGCCTACTGTAACGAGTGCCGCCTGTCGAAGAAGCTGATCGTGGTCACCGTGTTCGTGGCTCTACTACTGGACAACATGCTGGTCACGGTGGTCGGTAAGTTGAATGAATGAATGAATGAATGAATGAATGAATGAATGAATGAATGAATGAATGAATGAATGAATGAATGAATGAATGAATGAATGAATGAATGAATGAATGAATGAATGAATGAATGAATGAATGAATGAATGAATGAACGAATGAATGAATGAATGAAGACCTTTATTGTACGCAAATACCCACTGGGTTCAGTACAGGTCACAGGAAAGACGTCACAGTTTGCAATGAATATATACAATGTACAAGCTAGCACTAATTCTATGTACTATGGACATATAGTCTAATAATTACGATAATTTGGCTTCTTCTCGCTTCTTAGTAACGATGTAGATATAAGTACAGATGTGTTTTATAATCGAAGATTTGTCTAAAGTCAGTAGAAATATGAACTTGTGTTGCTAAGATGTATGAAATGGGGAAACATACATTGCAATAGTTTATAAAGCTCAGCTCTCTCTTCGTTGTATGAGCTACATTCTAATACAAAGTGTTCCTATCGTCTATCCTATTTAGATTACAATGCCTACATATTAGTTGTTAGAGGCATCCAGTGCGATTTCAGGGCAGCAAAACTTGAAACTGCTTCACATTTATTTAGCACTTTTGAGTCAGCATTTCAGACTTAAGACATTTAAAACTGCAGAAACAAGCCACAAGATGAGTCTTTTATTTTCTGGGCGGTACCTTAAAATCAATCCAGGTCCTTTCAGTAACCGTATTTTGCCAGAATTTTTGCTCCATGAGGCCAATATACATTTGGACAGTGTTGTGTTAACTTAGTATGTAGATAAGTGACTAGAATATTGACTTTGAAAAATCGGGGTTTTAAGCCCTAAAATGGCAATCAAAAATGTGAAAAAAATGTTAGTATTCATACAGAAGATGTGTTAAAAAGTTAACCAATCAACCAGTTAACCAAACGTTAACCACACAAGTTAACGTCTGTTTTGTTATCGTCTGTATGAATACTAACATTTTCCTTATGCTTATACTTCATGGTAAGCACAAGGCATTTGACTACGAATGTATTTCTAATTTTGCTGACTACCTCTCAACATAATAAAAAAACTACTGATACTGATCAGCATTTGTCTACTTTAAACTTTAAAAAAGCTTTTGAATTATTCTTCTACAGTGCCAATCATCCCTGACTATTTCTATCGCCTTGAGCACCCAAACTTCACCGGTGACTCTGGCTATGACTGGGTCGGCCACACGGGTTACTACAAGCTGCAAAAACAGGAAAACAACAACCCTGTGGCAGAGGCTTACAGCATGGCGAACAGCACTACCACCGCGCATGCGCTGGATGAACACGTGACACAGACGCATGGTCACGTGACCGAAACATCCGGGGCTTACACGGAAGAACCGCAGCGAAACGAACACGACTGGGACCTCATTCACGAGAACATCAAAATAGGACTTCTTTACGCGTCCAAGTCAACGTTGCAACTGCTGGCAAACCCCTTCGTCGGCCCTCTGACAAACAGGTAATAACTAATAATTATTTGACTTTTGATTATTTATATTTCATTTCATTGATATGCAAACTCCACATTTAGTTATTAGTATTTAGTTTTAAGTTGACATACCTTTTGACTATCTACCATTATGATTTGATATCTGAACGAATATAATTACTTGTACGTTACTTTATTTCATTTGATTGTTGATGAGTTAGTTACGATTTCGTCTTGTTCACGATAAGTCTATCTATTTTTAGTTGACCTTTGTTAGTTCATCTTTAATCTTTTGTTATAATTATAATGTCATGTAGTTTTGTTAGTTTTGTTCCCCCCAGGAATCTTTGAAAGCGCCAATAGGCGACATGTATTTTCTGGTTAAATAAAATAAACAAACTTATTTAAAGCAAAACTGAAAGACTAATGCTACTTTCTGTAACTTTTGAGCAACGAGGCGATTAGCATGGATTTTAATTAAGAACTTAAAAAAACATTAATTAATGAAATACCGTTATTGTACGTGTATGTCAATACAAGCTAAGAAAAGTCCATGATCATAAAACAGAAGCAAAACTAGAAAGGCCGACATTTGCTTGAGAGCAAATGCAGCAGATGGCTTCACCACATCCCCCATACCAAAAATGGATCTATCCTACGATGGCTGCCAATAGTCTACACCCCCATGCAGCAATGGAACCTTCCAATGCCGGAAATAGCCAAAAAGCCCTATTCTACATAACTTTAAAGTGATGTATGTCAAAATCGTGAATGACATTCTTTGGACATGTGTCCAAGGTATCCCCATACCAAATTTCAGGTCATTCGGATTTAATATTAGGGCACAGGAGCCAAAAATGTACATTTTTGGTCCAAAAATAGCAAAAAAGCCTTATTTTTTTCCAATTTTAAAGTGGTATATGTCAAAAGCGTGAATGATATTCTTTGGACATGTGTCCAAGGTATCCCCATACCGAATTTCAGGTCATTCAGATTTAATATTAGGGCACAGGAGCCAAAAATGTACATTTTTGGTCCAAAAATAGCCAAAAAGCCCTATTTTTCACAATTTTAAAGTGGTGTATGTAGAAAGCTTGAATTAGGTTTTGCAGACATGTGTCCAACGTATCCCCATACCAAATTTCAGGTCATTTGGTTTTAGTACCAGGGCTCCAGATCCCAAAATGTATATTTTTTGCCTGAAAATGGCCAAAAAAACCAAATAAAACAATTTTTCAAAAAAATGAAAAAAAAAACGCGTCGGGGTATTGGCCCACTCTACGTCCATGCCAAATTTCAGGTCATTTGGCTGAAAAACGGCTGAGTTGAATCCCTTTGACTGTTTGGCAGGAGAAGAAGGAGGAGAAGAAGAAACATGAGGGAACACAATATGTCTTCACCACTTTGTGGTGAAGCCATAATTACAGTGATATCTTACTACAATTCTACAAAGACTTATGCGAACTACTTCTGAATACACTTGTAGATTTATGAATACATTGAGCTTGAGCTACATAATGCACATTGTATAGTTAGAAAAGGTGGGACATTACATCTTCCATGGTTTACAGAAGAGAAGTCAAACCCTTCAGACATAGTTTTAGACATAGTTGTAGTTCTAGACTGCTACCTTTACCATGTAGTATTTAATTACTTTATACTCTATTCCATTGTTCTTTTATGTTTTGTAATTTGCAATTAGCCTCCGGGCAATAATTTGCAATAAACTTTTCATATAGTTAAGTAATGAATACGAATTTTAAGAAAAACTTCCAATCACAAAAAAAATGAAAATCTTGTCACGTTTTTTTACAGTTTGAAGTATCAAGTCAATTTTGACCTTGCACTGGCCGAAAACATTGGCAGTATTCAAGAAGGTTCACTGTCGCTTTGGGCGAAATCACGCGATAAAATCTATGACCTTTTCACCCACGCTAGTCAAAACCCCCGTGTGGTAAAAAAAATCAATGTTAAAGGTGACCAGTGCAGTTTTATAGTTGTAAAAACAGATTTAAAGTCAATATTCCAGTCACTTATCTGTATAGTATTAACAGGGGTGCCAGAGTACAAAGTGCAATTTGACGGTATACAGTGCAATTTTACTAGTATACAGTGCAATTTTACGGAATACAGTGCAATCGTATCAGTATACAGTGCAACTTTACGGAATACAGTGCAATCGTATTAGAATACAGTGCAATTTTACGGAATACAGTGCAATTTTAATAATGACGTTGAATCACGTGACTTGGACCCAGCTTTCGCTGCTTTCTCAGTTTCAAGATGGCGGACACCTCTGACTCACATATTTCTGTCTTTTTTTCGAGCAAATTCGAAATGATCCCTGTGTAGTAATATGCCCTGTGTGTAGTATGTAGTGATTTAACTAAAGGTCTATCTATGAGAATGGTTCTTCAAATTCGCTGGATAAACACAGAAACATGTGAGTACGCTCCGTTAGCGGCGTCCCTGGAAAGCCTGGCACACGTTACGTCATGATTAGTAAAATTGCACTGTATTCCGTAAAATTGCACTATATACTAATACGATTGCACTGTATTTCGTAAAATTGCACTGTATACTCTGGCACCCCAGAGTAAGTCCAATGTACATCGATATTGTAGAAGTAAAAGTTCAGCGATGTTGAGTGATGAGAACGAGAACCCAGCATATAAATAAGATCATGTTGATTTGATTATCTGGATGACTGAATTTTCTGCTGTCTAAAAAAAAGTTTTCAACTATATTGTAAATCATACAAAACAGTTGCAAAATGAGCAAAAATATTCCGTAAGTTGCAAAAAAGATTGGAAAATAATACCAATGTTGTAGAATGCCAAAATTAAACAAAAAATGCGAAAATGTAAAGGAATGAATTTGTAGAGTATATTATTCGCCAAACCATATATACTCTGTGTCATTTGTTCAACCTTCATGACCACGTAGATTTCATAATGAAAGCAACTTTTTTTTGCTAAACTTTTTAATTCGCACGCTTGCATCAGTTTTGGGGTTCCCAGAGGATGTCATCCATAGAATCAAATCAACATGGCCTAACTATTCTTGGGGGTTGTTTCTGGACTGGTTTAAGCGCCAGAAGTATGCAAATGCTAATGTGGGCCAGTATGTGCTAATCTTATAGATTATTCCAGTTCTTATAGAAACCATCTGATAAATGAACCTAGCCCCCTGTAGTAGTTTCATTTAGTGTTTTTCTCTTATTCTAACTCTAACTAACTCTAACTCTAACTAACTCTTATTCTAACAAATTATTATCATTATTGCACTGTATTTATAACTTACATTACCTTATTTCATTGTCATTAATTTATATATTTATTAAATTTATATTTGATTATCCTTACTGTATTATTTCCATTTTCTGTTGTATTATTTCCATTTATTGATTATATTTAATTTTGTATAGTTTAGAGGAGGAGGGCCTTGTATAAGCATTCCATGCTTCTCCCCTCCTCCTGCACCTGTTTTATCATTGTTTTGTATTATTATTGTTTGTTTTATCAATCAAAAAATCATATTTCCAGTTTTGCCGCCATGAAATTGTATTAGAGGTCTTTAAAAACAGCGATCAAAGATTTCTTCCTTTACTTTGTAATACGCGTCTTCTTTCTCCAGGATTGGATACAGCATACCGATGTTTATAGGATTCATAATCCTGTTCCTGTCAACATTAGGTACGTGAATTATATGAATTCTGCCTTCAATCTTATCTTGTGTTAAGGTTTGCTGTATGTAAGGCTCTAAATAGAATACAGGGTGGATACCAGTTATACGTATAATGCATAAGCTCGAGAAACTTTTCTTTGTTACGAAATGCAATGCTTTAGCAGTTGTGAGCGTGTGTGTGTGTGCATCATGTGTGTGTGTGTGTGTGTGTGTGTGTCTGTGTGTGTGTGTCTGTGTTTGTGTGCATCGTGTGTGTGTGTGTGTGTGTGTGTGCGTGAGAGAAGCAGAGAAAGAGACATAGAATAGTAGTAGTAGTAGCAGTAGACGTACATGTAGTAGTAGTAGAAGTGCTATAGCAGTAGCAGTACATCTGTGTGTGTATTTGTGTGTATTGTGTGTGTGTGTGTGTGTGTGAGAGAGAGAGAGAGAGAGAGAGAGAGAGAGAGAGAAGCAGAGAAAGAGAGATACAGTAGAAGTAGTAGCAATAGAAGTAGCATTATAATAGCAGTAGTAGTAGAAGTAGCAGTAACAGTAGTAGCAGTAGTAGTAGTAGAGCTGTTACTCATCGTCATCATCCGTTTCGGTAGACGATGGGTACTACTACTACTACTACTACAGTAACTATTACTACCACTACTACTACTATTACTACTACCACTACTACTACTACTACTACTACTGCCACTACTACTACTACTACTACTACTACTACTACTACTACTACTACCACTACCACTACTACTACTACTACCACTGTCACTACTACTACTGCTACTACTACTATTACTACCTGCAGCACTAGTGTTAATGCTAGTAGTGGTATATGTCAATAGTAAGCATTAGTAGGAACATATCCGCCAAATTGAATACTATCAAATGTATTACTGTCAATTTTGGTTCCCATGGATAAAACGTCTTGTCACACACAGGGTTTGCCTTTGGGACATCATATGCTGTCCTCTTTGTGTCCAGAGCGATGCAGGGAGTCGGCTCATCCTGCTCCTCTGTTGCAGGTAGTAAAATATGCAGTTCAATTGTCTTCAATATTATCATGAAAGTTCATCTGTGTTGGTAGTTACATGTTTAAAGTTAGAATTCTTGATCCAACAACAACAAAAAAATCTCTCACCTAGAGCTTTTGACCAGTCACTCTGGTCTTTCTCAGTAGCTTCTCACGTGGCTTCTTTGACGTGTGACGTCAACACTGGGTCAAAGATATCTGGTAGACGATGTCGGCCCCCGTCGCGGTTCAATGAAGGTTGATGGACCCTGATGTATATGGCTTCCTTCACGCCTCTCAAGAAACTATGTCTGCAATATGTTAATTGTCTGTGCTTTATGAATTAATGAATTGCGACATTTATTGCACGTTTTGTCACAGTGGGCTATGTACACACGGGCCATACAAGTACAGTTAACAAATACAAAATATAACTATAGTTAGACGAATTCAACTTCTCGCTTTTGAGCTATAGTGGAGTTAAATAAACTGTGTTCTTTTCATGTTTTTGGATGGAAGGTTTGTCTAGTTGCATTAGGAATATAATTTTGCTACAGGGTATAAAATATAGAGCTTAGTCATTCAATTATAATGTGTTGTTTTGTGCCCCAGGGATGGGTATGCTTGCGGACGCGTATCAAGATGATGCTGAAAGGGGAAGTGTGATCGGTATGGCCCTGGGAGGACTGGCATTCGGAGTACTGAGTAAGGGGAAAATACTGATTCTTAATTAACTTTCTCAGTTTTATAACATAAAATATATATTTAAAGCACAAAATTGTATCGTAAGACTTCTCCATCGTGCGTCTCTTTCGTACGTACAATCTTTTGATTTTTTTTTACCTCCATGCAAAATTGAGGCATTGTTAAATTCGGTATTGTTAAATTCGGTATGTTCGTGTGCGTGCGTGCCTGCGTTCGTGTGTGTTTGGTCCAGTCAGTACCGAAAGGACGAAATCACATCTGCATCTGGTAGGTGTTTTCACCCTTTTTTTATTTACATGACCTACTTGATACCTGACAGCTGGTGTGGTTTCCCTTGCACGATAAAGAAAGACCTGTAACGTTCTTTGCATTGTACTGCATACTAGTACAAGTACTACGATAACGTGTTGATTGTGCTCTATCTAGTTGGGCCTCCATTTGGCGGCGTCCTGTATGAGTTCGTCGGGAAGAGCGCCCCCTTTCTGATCATTGCAGTACTGGTGCTCTTGGATGGAGGTATGTCACTCTCAACGTTTGCAAAAATTAAATCTATTGAAGTTTTCAATTTAATACAAAATAAGTTTTATCTGTTTGCTTTCCTTTTATAGAACTAACGAAGGAGTTTCATATCAGCTCTATAATTAACCAAACACATTAATTACAAATTTTTCATTGATGAATGTGTGTTCTAGCTCTCCAGCTGATGGTATTGAGACCGAATGTGAAGACAAAGGTTTGTCATAACTCTTACGCAAAAACTGATGGCTAGTAACTAATGGCTATATAGTAACTGATGGCTAGTAACTGATGGCTAGTGACTAATGGCTAGTACTAATGGCTAGTAACTGATGGCTAGTAACTGATGGCTAGTAACTGATGGCTAGTGACTGATGGCTAGTGACTGATGGCTAGTAACTAATGGCTAGTACTTAATGGCTAGTAACTAATGGCTAGTAACTAATGGCTAGTAACTAATGGCTAGTAACTAATAGCTAGTACCGAATGGCTAGTAACTAATGGCTAGTAACTGATGGCTAGTAACTAATGGCTAGTAACTAAGGGCTAGTACTAATGGCTAGTAGTAACTAATGGCTAGTAACTAATGGCTAGTAACTAATGGCTAGTAACTAATGGCTAGTAACTAATGGCTAGTAACTAAAGGCTAGTATTGAAAAAAGGCTAGTAACTGATGTCTAGTAACTGATGGCTAGTACCTACTGGCTAGTACAAAATGTAACTGCTGGCTGGGGTGGGATACATTTTTCAAAGCTGTATGCTGGGTCACTTTGTATGCAGAAAAATGATAACTTGTGGGTCGGGCAAAATGGCGTCTACTATAAGCATCCCGTATAAAACATGACTAGAGTGCGAGAGTGGTAGTTCAAACTCTTTTACGTGCAGTTTGTCGCCTGGTATATTTCCCTGACTTATCTGGCATCTATCATGATCATCGGTATACTTTTTTTTAATGCAGCGGAGTAACCTAAGCTTATGCTGCCATTTCTTCCCAGGTGGACATGATCGGTGACCCCCTCCACAAGCTGCTGCGGGATCCGTACATCCTTGTGGCGGCAGGTAACATTCTTAGCAAGTGCACATCTTTATAGCGTACTTTTAAGCCACTGTCACACGTTTTTTACGAATTTGGCCTCCTGAACGTAAGCCCAACAATGGTTAGGAGTAGGTCAGCTGGCGCCTAGCATATCCTAAAAGTTAAACATTCAATCAGATTACTCAGATCAGGGTTTCTGTCGACAAAGACTCCGATCGGGATCTTTGCCGGTAGAATCACCATTTCTAATAGATTGAAGTCTCAAACTTGACATATCTATATATAATTTTCCAGGAAAGTTGGATTTTCCAAGAAAGTTGAATTTTCCAGGAAAGTCGAATATTCCAGGAAAGTTGAATTTTCCAGAATAGTCTAATTTTCCAGGAAAGTTGAATTTTTTAGAAAAGTCGAATTTTTCGAGGAAAGCTGAATTTTCCAGGTAAGTTTAATCCTCCAGGAAAGTTGAATTCTCCTTGAAAGTAGAATTTTCCAGGAAAGTTTTTTTCCAGCAAAATTGATTTTTCCAGGAAAGTTGAATTCTGCAGGAAAGTTGAATTTTTCCAGAAAAGTTTAATTTTTCCAGGAAAAAATTGAAGCCTCCAGTAAAGTTGAATTTTCCAAGAAAGTTGAATTTTTCCGGAAAGTTGAATTTTTCCGGAAAGTTGACTTTTTCCGGAAAGTTGAATTCTCCAGGAAAGTTTTTTTCCGGAAAGTTGAATTCTCCAGGAAAGTTGACTTTTTCAGAAAAGTTGAATTTCTCCAGGAATGTTTAATTCTCCAGAAAAGTTGAATTTTTAGCATGAAAGTTTAACGTTCCAGAAAGGGTTTAACCTTTAAAAATTCTTCAGGAAGGTTAACTCTTTTGTGTGTTTTGTTTCTTTCCTCTGTCCGTCAAACTGTGCTGACACAGATATATGGTATGTCCGCCGCAGGTACCATCTGTTTTGCCAACATGTCCATCGCCATGCTGGAACCCTCCCTGCCGATCTGGATGATGGACACCATGGACGTGGGCCAATGGCAGCTCGGTTTGTTATCATTTGACTTTTTTCAACGGTATTTGCAGTTAATGCCCAAATTTGGCTATTCAATGGAATATTAGGGATGCTATATTTTTTACCTTGGTGTTACCGTGTTGGTAGAATCATTATATGAAACAAGTTTAAACTCAGTCAGTGATTTTTTAACACAAGAAATTGGACAATTTTTAACTGTACAACCCACGTCTTTAAAATTCAGGAAGGAAGGACATCAACTTATGTAGATGACACACGTGGCTTGATGAGTTGGATCATATCTTGCAGAAAGTCTGTAGCGCCCCCTGTCTTTGTTGACATGTTGTTTGTTTCCGTCACCAGGTGTGGCGTTCCTACCTGCCAGCATCTCCTACCTGATTGGGACTGCCTTATTTGGTAACCTGGCACACAAGATGGGAAGGTCAGTGACATGTTCTATCCGGAACAGTCGTTTTATCCAGAACCATGCTTTTAAGCACGTTCTGGATAGCCCACACGTATGTCCTGTGCAAAATTCAGCTGTCTTGTTACAGAAAAGACGGCCTTGTTGGTCGTTAGTTCATTCTGTAGTGGCCTGGTTGAAAATTGTATGGCGCCCTACAAAGAATGTGACCATTCCTTTACCAGAAGTGTAAAAAGTCATGTTTTGTCATTATCTGTTCAAATAACAACTTTTTGATTTTGTTATATTTTCGAATAAAGAATTCCAAGTAAACTACAGTACATTGTTTTATAGGTAAATGCAAGTCTTTTAAACAACAACTGCTATCTTAAATGTCCTGCTCCCTGTGCGGTCCAAAAAAGTGGTCGGCTATTGTAATATCCGACCACTTTTGGTGTTACTGCCTGAGAGCATTTTTGATTAGACGACGCCTTCGGCTATTTGATAATATTTAACATTTATTTATTTATCTTATTTACATTTATTTTTTGAGGATCGGGCAAAAAGTTTGAAACTTATGTCAGCCCTCTCCTCACACACAAAGGGAAACAATGAAACAAAGTAGTAATAATAATAGGAAAAGACAAAGGACACTTAGAACAGCAAACATGACAACTTCTACCTTTGTCTTCTAGATGGCTGTGTGCCTTGTTGGGGATGCTGCTGGTCGGGGTCTTCTCGTTTGTGGTACGTACTGCTAAATCAATTAACTTTCGCGAGAAGGTTAGATTTTGGTAGTGTTTTTTAATGTATGTGAAATATGTATGCATATACTGTGTATTTGTGTGTATGTACTATGTATGTATGCGTGTATGCGGCATGATAACTCAAGACGTTTTGGGTGAATTGTCATGAAACTTGACATATTAGGTAGGTCTTTACTAGATTAGGGATCCCTAATGGGACCCCCAATCTAGCGCAGAATTTCCAGTTTTGATATCTCGTGATCTTGCAGAAAACAGAAACACTGACTATACAGCATAGCACAGCGTAGTATAAGTACAATGTAAACATTAAAAAAAAACTATTTGGCAAAGTTCTTGGAAAACTGTTCAAAAATTATCTTCACAAGCATTTTAGTTTCCCATCTTCATCAAGCTTGCGTGCTCTCATTGATTTGAATTTGATGTGATGTATTGTTACAGGCTGCCTTACCTTAACTAGCTTGCAAACAGCTACCTGCATAACGTACACAATCGACAATCTGCTAAACAAATACTATTTCTTTCTTTTTCCAAGGTTCCGTTTGCCAGAAGTCTGTCTGGGCTGATCGTGCCAAACTTTGCAATTGGGTTTGCAATCGGTAAGATCATATGTACTCACATGTGTGCTCTGTAATAATACCTATTATTTTATAGACAAATGCATAATGTCCTTATAGTTTAAAAAAACTGCTTGACAATGCCTCGTTTTATATTTAAGTCTTCTTTTTCTCCCGACGTAGGAATGGTGGATGCGTCAATGATGCCAATCATGGGGTACCTCGTGGATCTGAGGTAAGCCTAAATTAGAGAAGTAACATCTGCAAAGCAAATGCATAATGTTTACCTTCGGACATGGTCTGCTCTGTTAATTCTTACTCCAACTCATTCACATATATGCACTACTAGTATATGGTGACAGGAGCAGAGCAGACCATGAAATCACTGGTAACCCAACACCAGTCACCATGGTGACAGACGTCAAAATCAAGCCCTTCACAACACTCCGTCAGGAGGTCCTGACCTCCTTCACGGAGTAATAAAGCTGCATGACGAGACCCTTTACTTTAAGGTACCACCTATAGCCTTGAATACATGTAGGTAGAACCAGTACAATGGTTACATCACTTTTCTTATATTGAGCAAGGTCACTGACTTCTTCTGAAATATTCTGCAGACACGTCTCGGTGTACGGACTGTCTACGCCATCG